GTGGGTATGTATACATACATATTTGTTTATTTTTTAAAAATTTCTTTGATTAAGGTATTATATATGTGTCCTTATTGCCCCATTCTTTTTCTAGCGCTTGAAACCGCCTTCCCCTGTGGTTCCTGCTTTACAGAACAAAATTGCAGGCAAACTCCAAAGACCTCCTTCAGTTGACAGCATTATAAGTGCCTTTATTCAAGTATGTACTTTTTCTTCTGATTGGCTAATCTTAGCTAAGTTATTTTGGGTTGAGGGATTGGATGTGATTTAAATTTTTTAAGATCTGAAATAGAGATAATGTCTACAGTAGTTTGTTTGCTGCTTTGGTTGTAACTTGGTGCCCTAAAGTTTAAATTTAATAATTTTGCACATAGTTCTTGTTCGGACCCCCCAGAAGGCCTTTTCTTTGATAATGTATCTTCTAGCTGTAGTTATGCTAATGATGTGCCTCAAACTTTAGACTGAGCTACAATCGAAAGAAAGTTGGGAAAATGTTCCAAAAAGATTGTTTCTTAAGTTGACTCTTGAAGGGATTTTCCATAAAAACAAGGAAGATGAGGGACTTGCAGCACGTCCCAGGCCATGGAGGGACGTGTAAGCCCACGACGCACGTGGAGAGCACACGGGCTTGGTCTGGGCCTGGCAGTGCCTGAGCAAGAGCAGAGTAGGTGGAGGTCGGAACACATGCAGGGTCTTGAGTGGAGTGTAAGGGGTTTGACTTTATTCCGTAGATGCGTGGCTACCAAACAGGTTAATTACCATAACAGATAAACATTACAAGAACATCTTCCTGGATCTCACCCTCTGAGATGCGGATTCAGTAGGTCTGTGGTAGATGATGTGTTCTAAGGCAGTGGTGTGGAGATACATTTTGGAGGCCAGGATACTTTTGCAGAAGTCCAGATGTGAGACTTTATCTAAAGAAAGGCAGTGACAGTAGAAGAGAACAGGGTGACAGCATCAAGATACGTTAAGAAACACAGATGGTGGTACGTACTGACTGGTAGGGAGGAGTCAGTGACAGCCATCAGGTTTCTGGCGAGGGTTCCATGGAGCAGGCGGTTGGAAATAGAGGTTGTGGCTGAGAAGGTGGTCTGGACTGGATCTGTCATTGTGGAAGGCGTGGGCACTGTTGTTTGTCAGGTGAGTACAACAGTCTAGGATGGGCTTGGGGGCAGTAAACAGCTGAAGGTGGAATACTACGGAATTACCCACATTTCAGAAGCAGAGTAAGGACATGGAGACGGAAAAAGTGACAGAGTGGCAGTGATGTCAGTTGCTGCTGGCTATTGAGTGTGTCACTGGGATCACTTGGTGACTTTGGTGAGGCAGGTCAGTGGAGTGATGGGTGCAGAGTAAAGGCGGGCATTTGCTATGCAGTGGGAGTGAGTGGGAACAAGGACATAGACACCATACGTACTGCATTTACTACTCTTCAAAGAAGCAAGGCTCTGAAGGGAAGGAGGAAATGGACAAGAGAGTGAAGGGTGAGATAATTTTTTTTAAAGAAGGGAGAGATTTTGAGGCATAGTTGAGATTAAGGAGAGGAAAAGGGTGGAGAAAAGGGACTGATTGGTGGAGGAAGTGGGAGTCGCTTATAGCTACAGAGAACGTGGGAAGGAGTTCTCTGTGGATGGGGCGAGGACGCCACCATTGTGGTGGGAAGGAAAAGTGGATGCAGGTAAGTTTATAGGTAGGATAGTGGGGAGTTTGGCTTCTTCTACATATAGTTACTTTATTTTTTTTTATTTTTTTTTATTTTTTTTTAAATATATATTTTATTGATTCTTGAAAAGGGTGGAGAAAAGGGACTGATTGGTGGAGGAAGTGGGAGTCGCTTATAGCTACAGAGAACGTGGGAAGGAGTTCTCTGTGGATGGGGCGAGGACGCCACCATTGTGGTGGGAAGGAAAAGTGGATGCAGGTAAGTTTACGCTCTATCCACTGAGCCAAACCGGTTTCGGCTAGTTACTTTAAGAAAGTATTCTCTTCAAGCTCTGAGTAGGGAAGACACACTGAGTCTGTCTGTCATGATTGTTGAACAGGAACGTTCCGTGTCCAGGGCACAGTCTCCTCCGGTACCCGCCAGGAAAAATCAACTTCGTGCGGAAGGTAGAGTTACCTATTAAACCTGTAATCTAGGACATTTTTTATAGACTCATAGAACATTGCAAAACACTATAGAGCAGCGGCTCTCAACCTGTGGGTCGCGACCCCTTTGGCGGTCGAACGACCCTTTCACAGGGGTCGCCTAAGACCATCGGAAAACACATATAATTACATATTGTTTTTGTGATTAATCACTATGCTTTAATTATGTTCAATTTGTAACAATGAAATTGGGGGTCACCACAACATGAGGAACTGTATTAAAGGGTCGCAGCATTAGGAAGGTTGAGAACCACTGCTATAGAGGTAGAGAGGGCCTGGGTGCCTTCCCAGCTTCCCCCGTGGTAAAATCTTACCTAGTACAGTATCACCACCAGGAAGTGGACACTGGTGTATTCTACAGACCTTCACCAGGCTTCACCAGTTTCACATGTGCTCACTGTGTTGTGTGTAGTGCCCTGCACTTTACCTTGTGTAATTTGTGTAACCACCTGTCAAGGCACAGAACTGTTCTATCACCACAAAGGAATTCCTTGTGCTGCCCCTTTATGGTGACATTCTCCTCCATCCCCAAAACTTTACTTAACTTTTGAAATTTCTGTATTATCAGAAATGTGTTTGTGAGTCTTAATATGATATTCATGAATGTGATCTGTTATTTAAAACATTAAAAATAACTTTCATGACAATGTCTCTCAACATTTTAGCTTTATGATAGGCCAGACTATATTTTCAAGCTTAATCTTTTGTTCTTTTTACTTATCAATGGGACTTTGCAGAGGAGAAAAGAAATGTAATTATGGAATTATCAGAAATGAGAAAACAGCTTCGTAGTGAAGAGCGGCGTCTCCAGGGGCGGTTGCTACACTTGGACAGTGATGAGGAAATTCACATGAGGCAAGTTTCAAGTTGCATTTTTATTTGTTTCTGAATTTTTTTGTGTTCAGGATGAAGAATCATATGTCAGAACCTATCCAGTAATTTTAGTTTTGGAACAGGGTTAATTTTTACTGTAAAACACTCTTTATTAGAATGGATAGTTTGTATGTTTGAAAGTTTTTAAGATTATTAGTGAAATTTAAAGACTAAACTAGCCTTTTCTCCCAGAAGAAATCTAGATAAATAATGATATTCCTTGTGGAGGGATTCAGTGCAACTAGCAAAAACAGGGTATGATTTTTTAGTCTATTGGTGTTTGCAGTATATAGTAGGTTTTCTCTCTCTTTTTTCTTTTGACAAAATAGGTCTTTTTAAAATTAATATGCTTTTGATAAACTTTTCAATCTTATGTAAAGTTGCATCCATAAATTTTTATCCACAATTATTGACTTTATTCGTTGAGAAAATATGGGCTATTTAATAGATACTTAACTGTATATAAAATATTTAAATTGAGCATTGTAACTGTCCTGTTGTACTGCCAATAACATTTTTGGTGGTGGTATTGACATAGGTGTTGAGGGAAGGAGGAAGAAAGGAAAGAAGTAGCATTTCTTGAAGGAAAACCAGAAATACTATCCCTAACCATGAACTGTTTAATAGGGTTAACAGCGTATTTAACTATTAATGTTAATATAATTAGATAGAACTTCTGTACACCTTTTTTTTTTTAATCCTCACTGAGGATATTTTTTCCATTGATTTTTAGGGTGGAAGGGAGGGAGGCAAGGGAGAAAGAAACATTGATGAGAGAGACACACACATTGATTTGTTGCTTCCCTCACACGCCCCCAGGGCCGGGGATGGAACCTGCAACCGAGTTACATGCCCTTGCCTGGGAATTGAACCCGAGACCGTTTGGTCTGTGGGCCAGTGCCGTAACCACTGAGCCAAATCGGCCAGGACAGGACTTAGGTATTTTAATTTAATGGCCTTCTAGATTTAGTACTTATTTTTGTTTTACATTTAATGAGCCTCCACTGCAGTTCTTGACACTCTGGGTAGTTCACTATTAGAGGTCTGTATCAGCCTTGACCAAGTAGTTTGTGGCCCTGTGAGTCCGTCCCCTGAAAGAGCAGGGGCATTGCCTGTGGGGGGTCCCACTATTTCCCTGCCTGGGCCCAGGGAAGACCTAGTGCATCAAGAAATGAAGACAGGAGTCTGGCCAGCTCTTACACAGTAGCTTAGAGCTGCATTTTCAGAACTAGAGAGGCCTGCCTGGTGCTGAGGGAAGCAGCAGGGCTAGAGTGCCACCCCTCATCCCTGTCCTCTCTTAATGTCAACCCTCCCCACCCCCCAAAGCCATAGTGGAAAACTCCCTTCCTGAGCTCCCTCCTATTATACTAATTCCTAGAAATAGAGTATTAAGTAACTAACTAGGTACCAAGTTTCCTGAAAGCCTATTGTAAAATTAGTGTTGGGGACTGTGGATAATAAATAGTTATAATGGGCAGCATATTAATACCATCTTTTTCTGTATAATTTCTATTTTAGGCTGGGGGAAAGTTTACATTTATTGCGTACCTAATTCATGTCAAGTACTATGCTGGGTACTTTACAGGATATAATTTCACTTAATTCTCATACTCTTAAGACTAAAAGGGGTAGATACTATCTGCATCTTATAGATGCTGAAATCAAGGTCAAACTGCTAACAAATAGCAGAGCAGGTCTTTGAATCTTGGTTTCTCTGATCTCAAAGACTGATTTTTATGCTACGGGAACATTTTAAGGTAAAACTAAATCATTTTATTCTTAGAATAAAGTACTTTGCATCTGAGTATTTTGAAAAATTATAAACAATGACTTTATAAATACCCTATTTTTTAATGAGGGACTGAAGTAACAGATATTAGAATGTTTATAATCAACTCTGGTGAAAGATGCCACATTTCTTGAATGAAATGCGAACTCAGATTTTCTTCCCATAAAACACACGTTTATCATAGTTTGTCACTTACAGGAAAAGAGAAAGGAGCCCCATGGACATATTTGATATGGCGCGGCATCGGGTGCAGGCTCCTGTCAGAAGACAGTCACCGAAGGGCTGGGACTCGGCTACTTTGCAGAATATTCGGGACTTCAATGAGCTGAAAGACAGAGGTGAGTAGAATGCTGTATTTTAAAGATACAGCAAGAGTGGTCTGCCCATCTTCGTGGATCTTTAAACACATTTGTATCCATCTATTTTAAGTGAGTAATACTTCTGTGTGCCTTGGTGCTCCATTTTACCAGACTGAAGCTTTGCCTTGGCCTAACGGAGCTGGCAGAGCCTCGGCAGTGGATCAGATCACACCTAAGGGTGAGGAATGGCCCTTAGGTGTTCATGGAGGGTGGACAGAGCAAGATGAGCTCAGGAAAGAGACTGAGACGAAAAAAGCCAGAGCGTGGCATCCTGAGAGCTGAGGGAAGAGTGTATCAGAGAAGGCACTGCCTACAATGAATATTGGAAAGTGCCAGTTGGATCAAAGGCCATTGGTGACTTCAGCTAGATTTTTTCTGTGGAAGCCAACCAGCTTCGGGGTGAGGACTGAATAGGAGGCAAAGTGTTGGAAACAATTAGCATAAAACAGGCCCTGGAGGAAGCTTGGCTGGGAAGGAGGAAGTAGGGTCTAGAGCTGTTATAGGAGGAGGGGGTTCAGAAGCAGGAGAGGGATTGAGTGGTTGTTGGAGAGAGCAGGGTCCCTGAGTGCACAGGAGGAAATGTAGGATGTTTAGAGGAAGAGGGTAGAGAAGGCTTGATGTAGGAGTAGGAGGAGAGAAAGCTTATTAGGGAAGTAGAATGGCCTGGGGACTAAAGATGTGTAGAGGAACCAAAATATGTTATCTGTGATATTTCTTTAGGCGCATTCAACAGAGTGTTTGAGTCGAGGAGACAAATCATTGGATGTGCGTTCTGATAAACCAGAATTTAAACTTTTTCTTATTTTTAAAAGTAATATCTATTGTAGAAAAATTTGAATACAGAAAGATAAAAGAAGGGAAAATCACTTTACAGAGGTTTTCTAATCTTTTTTTCGGATCCTAAAGGTAAAAAGTAAAATAAAAACAAGATATAATTGGCCTAGCTGATTTGACTCAGTGGAGCATCCACCTGTGGACTGAAGGGTCCTGGGTTAAATTCTGGTCAAGGACACATGCCTGAGTTGCAGGCTCGATCTCCAATAGGGGTTGTGCAGGAGGCACCCAGTCAGTGATTCTCTCTCATCATTGATGTTTCTATCTCTCCCTTCCTCTCTGAAATCAATAAAAATACATTAAAAAATATATTCCTTTTTTTCTTTCTTAGATTTACAGTGTCATAAATTACATATACCATAGTTATTTAGCATGTTACCATTTATTGCTTACTTACGATATTCCAGGATTGTGTCATCCAGTGGGTCTCACAGTTTGGTCAGGGAACTTGTGAGGTCAAAACTACTTTTATTAAAACAGATATTATTTGTCTATTTCACTTTTATTCTCTCACATGTGTATAGGTTTTCCAGAGTTAATGGCATGCGATGACTTCATTGCTCTGAAGCTAACAGAATGTGCGCTTGTGTTTACCCATGTAAAAACTTCTTAGTGTTAATTTCTTTTCTTTTTTTTAAAATATATTTTATTGATTTTTTACAGAGAGGAAGGGAGAGGGATAGAGAGTTAGAAACATCATTGAGAGAGAAACATCGATCAGCTGCCTCCTGCACATCCCCCACCGGGGATGTGCCCGCAACCCAGGTACATGCCCTTGACCGGAATCGAACCTGGGACCCTTCAGTCCGCAGGCCGACACTCTATCCACTGAGCCAAACCGGTTTCGGCAGTGTTAATTTCTAAGATGGTGTCTGTGTGTGTATGTGTGAGAGACAGAGAGACAGACAGACATTGGGTCCTCAATTTTTAAGAGTATAAAGAGGTCTTGAGATCAAAAAGGTTTAAACCATAAAACAGCCATTTATTTCCCTATATTACTACATCCAGTTCTTATCTGTGGCTTGTTATCTCATTTTTAGAGAGGAAACCAAGTCTGGAGGTGGTGAAGTCAGGGTCCAATCCAACCGAGTATGTGTCTCCAGGGTCTCTTCTGTTAACTTTGCTCTTAACCATTTTTAATTCTTAAATATTCAGTGTGCTTTCCATTTTTTACTATTATTTTGACAATTTCTGATCACAAAGCTTTTTATATATTTAGGATTATTTCTTTAAATTATATCCCAGTGGTATTATTTAGTAGATCAAAGGGAATATTTTCAAAGCTTTTAAAATGTATGAACTATTTTTATTCTCAAGATTTAAAAAATTAATGTCTAACATTTTCATTATGATAAAAATTGATACTCTTGAATTTGTGGCAAAGGTAAATTCTTAAACTGTTATTTCCTCCAGTAATGACATCCCTCCTAAATTTCTAGCCAGTCTGCTTTTTGCATTTTATTTGCAAGGGCTAAAATGTTAATTGGCAAATAACATATTTTCATTTTCCCAGTGTATTATAGGGATCAGCTGTGATTACATTGCCTCATGGCTGCCTGAGTTTCAGCCGATGACTCACTGTGGGATGTATTTGTGCATTTGCCCTGCCATCTGCTTTGGGCATCTGGAGGGAGTGGGGTGCTTGTTCTGGGGGGGGGCTCCCTTATAATGTTGCTAGGTTTGTGAAAAGGCATTTATTTAAAGAACTAGATGCCCGGTGCATGGATTCGTGCACTGTTGGGGTCCCTCAGTCTGGCCTGATCCCCACAGGCCTGGGATGTAGTAGTGCATGAAGCAGCAGGTGGCTGGGGAGGAGCCCAAACCCGGGCTGGGTGCTGTGCCGCTCCCGCTCATCCTGACTCACACTGCGCCTGTCACTTGCCAGCATGAGCCCTGTGTCTGGTGTCCATCAGTCAGCTGAGTGGCACTCTGCTGTGGGAGCGTGCTGACCACATGCCTTGAGCATCTGCCCCCTGGTGGTCAGCGCGCATCATAGCGACCAGTTCGGTCACTTAGGCTTTTATATGTATATACTAATTTTTTTTTTGAGTATTTTGGGTTGTTTTTATTGTGGTTTATTTCTAATATTATGCCATTGTGGTCTGAGAAGATGCTTGGTATGATTTCAATCTTCTTGAATTTGGGGAGACTTTGTTTGTGACCCAATATGTGGTCTATTTTTGAAAATGTCCCATGAGCACTTAAGAAGAATGTATATTCCGTGGCTTTGGGGTGAAATGTTCTGAAGATGTCAATTAACACATTGTTTGCAGGTAGTTTTTATCGCGCGCTAACAGGTGGCTCTACTACTTATAGTCAGCGTAAAAGGTATAAATACGTTTCCCGCATACGATGTGTTAAGTCCATCTGATCTAGTGAGTCATTTAGGATTGCTGTTTCTTTGCTGATTTTTTGTCTAGAGGATTTATCCAGTGATGTCAGTGGTGTATTAAAGTCCCCTACTATGATTGTATTGTTGTCGATCTCTCCTTTGATATCTTCCAGGAGTTTTTTTATGTATTTGGGTGCTCCTGCATTGGGTGCATATATGTTTATCAGGGTTATATCTTCTTGTTGTATTGATCCCTTTAGTATTATGAAGTGGCCTTCCTTATCTCTTGTTATGTCCTTCACTTTGAGGTCTATTTTGTCCGATATAAGTATTGCTACCCCAGCTTTTTTTTCATTTCCATTTGCCTGAAAGATATTTTCCCATCCCTTCACTTTCAGTCTGTGTGAGTCCCTTTTTCTGAGGTGGGTCTCTTATAGACAGCAAATATATGGGTCATGTTTTTTTATCCATTCAGCCACTCGATGTCTTTTGGTTAGAGCATTTAGTCCATTTATGTTTAAAGTTATTATTGAAAGGTATTTGTTTGTAGCCATTTCTATTTTTTTGTGCCTGTTTTCTTTCTTAGATTTCTTTTTCCTGCCTTTTACACCAGTCCCTTTAACATTTCTTGCATTGCTGGCTTGGTGGTGATAAACTCCCTTAGCCTTTTTTTGTCTGTGAAGCTTCTTATTTCCCCTTCAATTTTGAATGATAGCCTTGCTGGATAGAGTATTCTTGGATTCAGCCCTTTGCTTTGCGTCACTTTGTAAATTTCTGTCCATTCTTTCCTGGCCTGATGTGTTTCTGTTGAGAAATCATTTGATAATCTAATGTGAGATCCCTTGTATGTAACTTTCCGTCTCTCTCTTGCAGCCTGTAAGATTCTCTCTTTGTCCTGAACATTTGCCATGGTAATTATGATGTGTCTTGGTGTGGGTCTTTTTGGGTTCACCTTGTTTGGGACTCTCTGTGCTTGTGTGACTTTTTTCTTCCCCACCTCAGGGAAGTTTTCTGATATTATTTCTTCAAATAGGTTTTCTAACCCTTGTTCCTCTTTCTGTTGTTCTGGCACCCCTATTATTCGTATGTTGTTTCATTTCATGTTGTCCCATAGCTCCCTTAGGCTCTCCTCCTGTCTTTTGATTTTTTTCTCCAATTGCAGTTCAGTTTGGGTGTGTTTTGCTTCCCTGTCTTCTAATTCACTAATTCGGTCCTCCGCTTCTCCTAGTTTACTGTTGAAACTTTCAATGGTGTTTTTTATTGCAGCTATATCACTCTTCATTCCTTCTTGGTTCTTACCTATTTTTTCATCCATTTCTTTTTGATTCTTACATAAGTTGTTGATTTTTTCATCCGTTTCTTCTTGATTCTTGCATAAGTTGTTGATTTTTTTTCTCCATCCGGTTTATGCACTCTAGGACCCTTAATCTGAATTCTTTTTCTGTCATATTACATGCCTCTGTTTCACTTAGCTGCTTTTCTGGCGAGTTCTCCTTTTCTTTCCTTTGGGGGTTTCTTTGTCTACCCATGTTTGATCTCACCGACATATCTAGATGTTGAGTCGTTCAGTGGCTGTTCCTTGGGTGGCAGTGGCTCCTTGGGCGGTTGTGGTAGCAGCTGCTCCTCAGTTGGCAGCAGCTCCTCTGGTGGGTGTTCACAGCTGTGGTGGCTCCTCTGGCTGGTCGGGGAAGGCTTCACACACAGCTGCTGTTCCTCAGACAGAGGGTGTGGTGATCACGAGGCTGCTGTTTCTTGGATGGGGGCCTGTATATACTAATTTTGTGTTCTTTAGCTTTATGA